CACACACACACACACACAATTGAAATAGTCTGTGTGTTTTCTGTGGGTTGATGCTACAGTGTGTATATTCTTCACTGTGGGATGAACACAGTGCTGTATATACTGTATATGGTGGTGAGCTCTGACGAGGCCTCACCATTTAATTCTATATCTCTACCTGAGTGAAAAAACACCCCTAAAGGAAGCACTGGAATAGTTTTGCCAATTCTCTGTCATCAGTGGGGATGTTTTATTTTCTAGCCTCGGAGTAAAACACTTTTTAAATATACTGTTTCACAGCTGGAACGCACAAAGCTGGTGCTGGATGTTATTTGTTGTTTGAATAAATTGGGAGAAGTCATCCTTGTGCCATAGGCTCTTTAGTTTGGGGTTTTATAATTAGTTGTAAGAGCCCAAATTAAACAGTTAGGAACATGAATGGTGATCACAAAATATCTGAAACATTTTACACTAGGAACCAGGAGTCCATAAAGTAAATCTCTCAGCCTGCAGTGAACCTCCGTGTCTGCATATTTTCCCATATATCTGGGTCAACTGCCGATTCATGTAGGCCCACACACACACANNCTGACCTGCATGTTTAGGATGTTCCACCTCACACACACACACACAATAAAAAATCAACAGCACCTGAAAACAGGCTCAGGCTGCCTCCTTATTTATGAACATCCTCTTGTGTTGGATTTGATCTGCAATGTTAGTGCTGTCTAAGTCTTTTTAGTACCTTTTTTTTATGTCGGCAACCTATAAAATCACCATAGTAACTTACTGCTTTAAATGAAAGGAGGAAAGAATAAAGATGACAGGAACCCAAACACACTGCAGGTGGAGACTCAGACCAGCTTGTATCAGTAACAGGAAGATACTGACCTCATTGAGGTGACATAATAAAAGGTCAAATTTGAAAACTTGAAAAGGTCACATGTTGCTTTGCTGCTCTCACCTCAAGAACCTTTTTTTGTCAGGTCTGACTGTTTTTTATGTACTTCATTTTCAGACCCTTTTTCTGCACCAACACTCAACTCATTTGGAACTCGTTTGGTTTCGATAAATAGCAATAAGTGGACCACTGTTGCTAATAATCCATTTATAACTCAACAAGAAACTCCCAAAATCATCAAAATGCTCATATGTGTAATATAATGTCCTTGTGTTCCCTATATGCGTCTCATTAAATCTAGTGGTGGAAGAAGTATTCAGACCTTTTACTTAAATTAGCAATACTAGAGTGTAGAAATACTGCTACAAGTAAAAGTCCTGCATTCAAAATGTTACTCAAAAGTACAAAAGCATTGACATAAAAATATAATTAAAGTACCAACATAATGCAGAATGGTCCATTTCATGTATCTTGTTGGTTTATAATTAGTGATGCGTTAATGTGGAAGCATCACTTTATTATTGCAGCTGGTAAAGGTAGAGCTCATTTTAATTTCTTTATATACCAATGAGTTGCTTAACCTATAATAATAGATCATAATTTATCAATTAATTGATGTTTTACATCAACAAACAACAGTAATCTGCTAAGTAACGAACTAAACATGCCAAATATAAAATGGAAGTACAAGTACACCTATGTGTAAGTAAACGGGAACATATTTGGATGATCAGTGGAGAACTTGGCAGGCAGATTGACTTATGAAGCATGAATAACTAACACATTTTATGTAAATCCATCAAAAAGCATCAGTGACGGTATTTTGTTTAGCCCATAGGTCATAAATGGATAATGTTCTTATCACCAGACGACTTGCTGCAAGTGTCAAAAACTAATCTTTGAACCTTTCCTCACACTAGTGACATCCTTGGATCTTTGACTGCCTTGAATCCACAAATATCTACACAGAGAAATGGAAAAGCTTTTTTTTTCAAGAAAGAAAGAGCTCATTTAGGACTCCACCGGGATAGACAGGCTGATACATATTTTTATATCTGTAATACAGATGACTTACTGTATGTTGAATAGCAAAGCTTTGAGTTAAAAACTTCATCTGTGCTGTAGGTTTTTAATATTAACACAGAAAGAAAGATTGTAGCCATAAAGGTTTCTATTTAAACAAAACGAAAAATGAGACATGATAGATAATAGGCCTTATTATCCATAAAGCAGTAACAAGATAGCTGTTTGCAACACGATAAGTAAACCTTAAAAACGTCAAAAGCATTGAATGCAAAGTAATAAGTGAAAGTAAGTTCATTGTCGTCATTTATCATTTTGTTTTTCTTTATCGGGGGCTCTTCCGAGTTTCACAGCTACCATTGTTTCTGCTAGATGCTTGAAACAGAAGGGTCAGAGTAAATCCTACACACTCGTCCTTTAATTGATTAGTCGTTCAGTCTAGAAAATACCTTAAATTGGTAGAAAATGCTCGTTACAATTTCCCAAAGCCTAAGCTTATGTTGTCCAACCGGCACTGCAAACCCAAAAGATAATAAATTTACAGATATAAAACAGATACAAGCATCAAATCCTCATGTTTGTGAAGTTAAAATCAGATTTAAAAACAAAAAATGAAATGATCCTAGAGAATTGTTAATTTTCTGTTGGTCCACTTTAGTCCATTAATCATTCCAGCAATTATAAAAAATAAGAGCAAGACTATAAATGACGCAATTCTCCTCTCAGAAAAGGAAACCTGAATTCAGCAATAAAAGCAATTATTCAATTTAATACCATCAGGAGTTTTGCTCCTGCAACCTCACTTGGTCTGGTATGATCAGCAGCTAATGTCAGCTGACAGGAAGTCATCGTTATGGTTACTTGTTACTTGTTGCAGTGTTTGTTTGGAGGGAAAACCTGCAGAACAGATTTCTGTAACCATGGCAACAAAAGCTATCTGCTATGCACCACATACTGCATGTTACTCTGCAGCATTATGGGACGTCGTCTTATGCCTAACAGGTAATATTTGCTATGGAGCAGCTTGCGTTACACTAACTAGTTAGACTACTAGCTGAGCAGTTATAGCTTCCATAAAGGAGAAACTTACATTACACACACATCCAAACTTAGTCTATGTTCACACTGCAAACCGTAGTGCTCAATTATGATATTTTGCTGTTTGTTGGTTCATAGTATTTATTAAATGTGGCCAATATCAGATTCCAGTGTGAACAGATCCTGGTCCTGAAGTGACCCGCATAAGGAATGTGAATGTAGAGTGACGTAAAAAGTCACGTGAATTCAGATTAAAAATCCGACATATAAAAGTGGTCCAAATCAGAAATGAAAAGATCAGATTCCTTGTGATTTGTGCTGTTCACACTGTCATGAACACACTGTCAGATTTGGGTCACTAGAGTCTACAGTGTGAACGTGGCCTTATAAAGCAGTAACAGGACTACAGAAATCCTCCTGTGGTCAGTGTAGTTTAACAAACAAACAATGAGAGGTGAAAGTAAAGGCGGGTGGGGTTGGTTGCACTGCTCAATAGATTAATCATGCATGCCTAGTTTTTGGCCACCAGCTTGTACGCAGGGGAAGAGAGGACTGCCTCTCTCTGTGTTTCCTCTCAGATATGGGCTCTTCTGGAAGATGGATGCTCTGGACCCTGTGTGTGTGTTTCACCGCTCTGGAGAATGGTGAGTGGGCCTGTCTACAGCTTTGATACAAAGTCAGTAATACAAGAGATGAGAAATGTCGGTCACTTTGTACATGCTGCTATTGCTTCAAGGGTTTTGAGGGATCTGCAAAGCTGCAAGAATTACTTCTTCTTTTCTATAATTCTTTTGGGTTTTGGTTAAAAAATAAACTGTATACGATATTTGTTACTTTTGTTATTCTGTTGTAAGTACAGGGATGAGAGACCCTTATAATCTGCAGTGCAGAGCCCTCAGTACTGAGATAAAAGTGTTAAAACTAGACCCTTGGAGTATTTGGACATGAACATGCCTGTTGTAAATATGATTAAGAATTTAAAACTTTAAATTAATGCTTGTATTCAAAAAGGGCTTTAATCTTATATAAGAGTGTTTAGCTAAAGATTTAATTTGCATTTCGTGGTCTTTTTTCTTAATTGCTTAATCAAAAATAGCCCCCGATAAGCAGCCCTTTTTCAATATTACAGTTGTATCCAATACCGCCTCCGGTTTGTCATATTGAATGTCTTCGTTTGAAAGGCTCTTTAAAGACTGACGTTTTAGGAACTGGTGCTCTACATAGAGACAATGTCATGAATTGACAATATGTTTTAATGAATACATCCCTGTGAAGTGGGCTGTTGTTCCACCCAGTCTGTGGCCGGTTTGGCTCACCCTCAAAGCTGTCAAGTGTAATTAACAACTAATATGCACGCTGAATTCCCACACACACACAAACAAAAGGCCTGAGGATGACAGAGAGGAGGGAGGGGGTTCATTATTCCAGTAATGAAGGAGGAGAGGGAGGAGCGGGGGCAGTCTGCACATCGACAGGGAAACTAGGGAAGTTAAAAGCAGGGTAACAACAATAAAATGGGAAAATTTAGGAAATGAACTTATGTGACAGATATGTCTTGTCTCTTTTTTGTTTGTCCCTTCCTGCCTTGTTTATTGACACAGTCGCACTCAGGGTGACCATGAGGGAATCCAGCCTAAAGGTGGTTCGAGGGGATTTTGTTGTCCTGCCATGCTCTTTCTTCACCTCCAGCCCTCTCTCCAGACTCAACGTCATCTGGACTCTGGCTCCCTTCTCCAGTCCAGAAACCCCAATACAGGTCTGAATTGCAACACAAACACAGTCAGACATCTCTCTGCAAACTGATCAGATATATCAGGTATTTCGTTATATCCTCCGTGGGTGTGTGAGCCGGTAAAACACACCGTCCTGAACTGAACCTGCTGCAAAGATCCAAATTTAACCCACAATCACAGTAAAGAATCCCCTCTATGAAATATGGTCTGAAACTACTCATTACTGGATGCTCTCACCTGCAGGTGATTGTGTACGACCATGGACTGGTGATTGAAGACCCAGCCCTCATTGGCAGGGTGGGTTTTACAAGTAAGACCAGTTAAATTAACTACTGTGTTTTTAAATTTACTTCTCAAGGACAGTTCTTAAAAATCCATCTTTTTTTAAGGATTAATTTATAAATTGAATACAGGTTAAAAACATGATTATTCCATGCAGGTATTCCCTGGAGTGCAGACATTGTCCTGAACGACACACGTGTATCAGATGCCGGTATTTACCGCTGCATGGTCAATAACCCACCAGAGACGGCGGATCCCGGCATAGGAGAACTGGAGCTCAGTGTTCTGGGTAAAGTGTGTCACATATTCCACTAGAGTAAACTGGTTCAGTGGCATTTACACATTTAAAGCAATCACCATCTTTTTTTAAAAGTCTGATAAGTTGTATTTGGTGTATTCCCATCCACACCTGCCACCTGATTTTTATCCTACTTGGTCCAGCCTAAAATACTTCAACAGCTATTTGTTGGATGAAATTCTGTACAGACATTCCTGGTTCCCAGAGGATGTATTGCATTGACTTTGTTGATGCTCTTCACTTTTCCTCAGTTTGATATTTGTGCAAAAAAACAAAACACCCTGTGCACACTGTGCCTTTCAAACTATGTGTATTTATATTTCATATTTGTTATTTTGAATGGTAGAATATATATTTGCTATGGCCTATTGTATTGTATGGTAATGTGAACCTGTTGGATTGATGAGCACCCGATTACTTAAAGGCACACCTAATGGCAATAAAGCACAAATCTAATGAAGCAACATGAAAAACCCTGGTGTGCACTGGAATATGTTTATTGTTTGGTTTACTTTGATATTTGTGGTTTTAAATGAAATGCCTCAATAACTATTGGATGAACAGCCATGACATTTGGTTCACACATTCCTGTTCCCCTCAGGATGAACTGTAATAACTTTGGTGATCCTTTAATATTTCTCTGGTTTGGATCACGCAGTCAAAATTAAAATGTTTCCAATGTTTTGGTTTAAATACCTGTAAAACTAATGAAATTCCCATAACCCTCAGCACAAATTAGCTCAGGCTATCGTGCTAAAATGCTACATGCTAAATATCATCATGTTAACATTCCCATTGTGAGCATGTTAGCAGTGCTGAGGTTAGCATTTAGCTCAAAGCACCTCTGTTTATTATTATTATTCTGTTACTTTTACAGTTAGTAACTCCAAAGTCCAAAACTGTCTAAATATTGTAACATAAATAAATAATAATGGGTTGACATGATATTTCTTTTTAAATATAATATTAGCCTGTAACGATGATATTCTTCCAATATATTGGAGCTTCGATTAAAATGCTCAGCCAGAGAGGTTTAAGAAAGCAGAGGTATAAGATACATACATTTGTCTTTCTCAGTGTCTGTTGGTCATCCAGACCTGAGCAGCAGTAAATAAAACCTTCCTTACAGCTCATTACTAACATTACATCATATGGATGAAAACAGTTGACCTTCCTTTCAGATGTTACTCACAGAACCAGAACTACCTGTAGAGTCATACAACTAGTTTTATGGACATAACATAATTTTAATGGCAGGACTTTATTGAAATGTAAATTCAAGTCGGATGTGCACTTGCATCTGTTTCTAAGAGTTCTGCTGCTTTACATCCTTTTAGAAACATATCTGATTGTTTCTGTAGCGCCACCTTCGCTACCTGTGTGCCAGTGGGACGGAGATGTTGATATGGGAGGAAGTGTCACGCTGTCCTGCTCGGTGGCAGAGGGAGTCCCCACTCCAGAGATCCGCTGGGATAAACTGAATCCAGAGGAAATCGCACTTCCCATCAACATGGAGGGTCAGTGACACACACACACACACACAGCCAGTACATTATGTGTTTGTCTTCAACCCAAGGGACTCTTCTGTAGAATTATAATCATCTTATACAGAGATCAGTGTTTTATTTTAAAATCTACTGAAGAGCTCAAGGATAGTAAAAAGATGTCATATAATTGTTTATAAAATGAGTTAAATTCAAAAGTGCAAGGAAAAAATTAGTTCCATTTTAAAATTGTATTCAATTTGAGAGTGATACAGCCTCAGTGACACACTTTCAATGCCCATAATGAGTATTCAGTGGCTTTTTAACCTAAGACAATAAAACATGAAACTACTTAAGGGAACAACTAGTGACACTTAATTAAAGAACCATATATTATTAACCTTATAAATAGGTAATGCTTAACTAATGCATGTAACATGAATTCCTGTTGCTCACATTAACTATTAACCAAATTAGCTGGACCCTTTTATTTGCTCAGCCTCTAAAGCAGTACCAGTTCTCACATGAATATAAATATTTAAAGTCGTATTTAGATGCAAATATTTACATAATAAACATAAATACCATTTATGAGTACAGCTTTATGTGACTGGCTTGATCACATATCAATTAATGTATAGAGTAACTGAATTAATTGACATTCCTTAACTGATGATATATGAAGTGTGAACCAATGACATAACGTCATAGTGACAGTGTACCATTGGGGTCTTCACGAGAGACTATTTTAAAAAGACTGGTTCAAATTAAAGAAGCCGAAATATCTCAAGTTTTAGTCCGTTGTAAGTTAAAAAGGAAAAAAGCTGGATCTTACACTTCCCATAATGCCCCTGCGTTTCAAATGCCCACATATTTTGAACCCCACATATCCAGTTCGTATTGCAGCTCTTTAAGCCCAAGATAACCATGATGATCATCACTATAACATCATCATGGCAGCTTTAATAAACTTGTGCTCCCTCAGAGCCACAGAAGACATTACACAACTGTTTCCACAGGCTAAGCAGTGCTCCTTGTGACAAGTGAGCCGAACGCCATGTGTAAAATCAGTGCTCCTCTTAGGCATGTGATTTGTGAGAAGTCATTATCACCGTTACGCTCGCACTTCTCTTCTCTCACAGTTTAGTGTCATTAACGTGGCTCTCCCTCCTCTCAGATGATCTGTCCGGCTCCGTCCAAATCGTCAACGTGTCGTCTCAGACGTCTGGCCTTTATCGCTGCTCCGCCACCAACATCCTGGGAACAGAGAACTGCTACGTCAACCTGTCCATCTACAGCAGTAAGCTCCTCTCTGCTTACCCATAATCCCCTTTGCCTCTTTGCCCTAAATGTTTTTGACGGATGGTTTCGTCTTTCTCTGCAGACCCAGACAGTTCCTCGGGCCTGCTGCAGGGTGTGCTGCTGACCTTGTCCATGAGCTTGGTGTTGCTGGCGCTGCTGGTGCTCGTGCTGTGGCTCCATCGCACGGGACAGGATGGGAGGTGGAGGGAGGGGAAAGAGGAGGAAGAATGTTACAATGAGATACGATACACTCCCTCTCTAATGAAGCGCTCGTTTGTTTGATTTCTTAAAGCTGCAGGAGGTACATTTTATAAAAATCTCAGAGAAAGATAGTTGATTGTTGAGTCTCCAGGTGATCAAATGCTGATACTGGCTTAAAAATAATTGGTTGAATCTCATTCCCAGATCCCAGTGTCCTTATTTGACGACCTGGGAATGAGACTCAACCATCGTCTGTCTTCGCTCTGATTGGTTGTTTTCATTCAGCTTCGGGGGATTTTTGCAAAATACCATTAGGGGCACGAGGAGGGATTATCTGTCTCATGTACTAAAGTCAGGATATAGTGAAAGTTTAAGCAAATACGTGACAGATATGATAAAAAGTTATTTTTATAAAGGTTACCTACTGCACTTTAACATCCAGGAAATAGAAATGCTCCAACACAAGTGTCAAACAAAAGACTCTGTTTCACCTCTAATGGATTTGCATACTACTGCACCGCTGTACAGCCTCACAAATGCTGAAATAAATGCTCAAGTTTCCAATTATGTGGCATTTCATTTACAAGACATACCTACAGTTGTAATGCATTTGACTGCATATACTTTGAAGCTTTTCTCCAATTCCCTCAAAACCAGGAAGCAATTAAACCTACATGATAAAAAGAGGGCACTCAGGATCCCCGGGGCTTTAATTATCTACCCAGAAATGCCCCAACAGACAAACCACCATCTTTACTTTTAGTGTCCTGCCCTACACCATGAGATGTCAGTCCTGAAGTCCCTACGTCAAACCCTACAGTCCTAACCACCTCATCCACGTCCCAACAAGACTGCACAAAGTGTAGTTGGCTGCATTCACCATATTAAATCTGTGCAGCTCCCTGGCGGCCCACGCACCAAGGCTGAGTCCTTGCTGCAGCGGCTGTGGGTTCAAATCTGACCCGTGGCCTTTCGCTGCGTGCCATCCACTCTCAGTTGTCCCATTGATTAAAGGCTGAGAAAGACCTCAGTGTCAAACACATCCCTCTGCCAACAGAGAGCAAAACGCTGGGCGCTGCAAGGACAAATATGGCCGCAGGCTCAGTTTGTAACTATTAACGTCTGACAGGGTGAGATTTAGTTTATTTGAATGTTTGTCCTGTATTATTTTGAAGTTTGCAACATATTTTAGATAATTACTGTAAAATGAGTCAGAGGTTAGGAAGGTTAATTACTAGCTAATCTGCAAGTTCACTAATGAGCTTTGATTCTCAGCACATTATTAGAGTTTACAGCACCGTGACACTACTGTAAGGTGTTTCACATCATTTTTAAGGTTTCTAAATAAGTACGAATTGAGGCAAAGTCTCAAGAGAAAAAAACAACATGACAAAGAAAAGAAAAATGAAAACACTCACAACAGTTGATTTGCAAACAAAGACACAAAAACCTTTAATTTAAATAGGAGAAAGAAAAAAAAAAAATCACATAAAAAACTGTACAGAACATTGAACATCGACTTAAAGTTCTTAAATAAAAGACCCCTCTCCCAAAAAAACTAAAATAATAAAAACGATAAACAAAGTGGGATGGTGTATGATACATTTTGTGCAAAAGAAGTTTTAATGATTCTTCCCAAACTGCACATTTCAATGTGAAGAGTGCCCCTCTCCACTCAGCTCTCCCCTCTGATGGGTAAACACAAGAGTCCCCCCCCCAAACCTCAACATAGTGTCTTAAATGTAAAAGAACCCAAAATCCAATAATAATAAAATAGATTTATATTTTAAATATATATTTATATACGAAACATGCTGTACATAATTTCAGAGATTAAGAAATCCCTTTTTATTGACACCCAGGTCTGTCCATGAACTTGTGCTTTCCTCACTCCCAGCAATGATAATAAAATAAAAAAAAACAATATTACTCCCTGTTGCTTTGGATACACGATGAATGAGAAAAGAAAAACAGAAAACAGCACTGATCAGAAAGTCTCTGTTTTTCCTGAGTCGAGGGAGTTACTAACGTGTTTGGAGAGGGATACTGACGCACTTTTCACCTGTCGTCGCTTCTTCACAGCCGAGACGGTACAGAAATCTCGTGGCTGCTAAAAAAGGTTTAAAACAAGTAAACGAAAGCTTTATAAAGGCGTGTCCCTTGTTCAGATGTTGGTAGGAGCTGAAAGTTGGGGGAGGAAAAAAAAAAAAAAAAAAACGGTCCGCAAAGACAATGTGATTCAACAAATATATGTGGACTGAACAGCATGCAGAGTGCAGAACATATTTGAACCCAGAGAGAGGAAACACTGGAAAGGGGGCAGCTTTTGTCATGTTAGTGTGACTACAGTACTCAACCTGCCTCTTAAACTGTGACACTTTTAAAAAAACTTTTTTATCCCCCTTTCAGTTTTCTCCCTTTGGCCAAAAAGTCTTCCTGCAGAAGAAGTCAATTTCTTTCCCGTTTTAGACCCTGAGAACGCTGGCCCCCTTTCAAGTTTCCTATAGGGGAACTCCGCTTTGGAGAAATGATTTGGTGAGAAAACTAGCACACGAGGCAGTCTTCTGCCACGGCGATTAATTCTCGAGCACAGGGTTATTTCAGAAGCATTCAACCACTGCAGACGACTGGGGACACATTTGGGGCCGAATTTGGTTGGACTGCCAGCTCCAGCCTTTTTTTTTCGTATTGCATGACGTACTTAAACCCTCAATCGGTGTTTCACAGTGGTGGAACAAAAAGAGTGCAAGAGAGGGAAAGAAACCATCTTAAAGTGACTTCTCAGGAATACTTCCAGTTATGTTACACACTTTAAAAAAAAAAACAAAAAAAAAAAACACATTGGTGAGATGATACGAATGTGATGACACCAAAGAAATTGAGGGAGGGGCTGGGGGGTGGAGGGGGGGTTACAGTTGACAGAAGGCAGATTTCCAATTTCGATACATCAGCACACCATATTGACAAACCCCGTTAAAAGATATCTGTAAGACAATATTAATCAAATAAATATTCCACCTTTGCTTTCAGTATTTATTCAACTTTGTTTCTCCAACTAAAACGCTGGATTTAACTGTTGTAGAAACAGCAGTAGTAGTAGTAGTGGGTATATTAGTAGTAGCAGGAGATGCAGAAGCAGTAGTATAGTAATGGGAGGCGCCATACTGCAGACAAAGAAAACAGAGCTCCCCATACAAAGCAGCCTGGGTCCCTGCTATTGGGAAAGTCATGAGCTGAGTGGATCTGATCAGAGAGGGCGTCATTGATCTGTTATCCAAAGAAAACAAAACTCAGTGAACCTTAAAAACACTGAGGAACTTGTGATTCTTCAAGTAAAGTACAAAAAAAAAAAAAAAAAAAGACATTCCACTCATCAAATAAAAAAAAAAAGCCTTAAGTTTCTGACACTCCCAGTTTGTAGGTTTGTGATCAACACAATTTTCACAGATTGATCCTGATCCTTGGGCACCAGCTCTGTCCGAAGTCATCCCACATCTCCGTGTTGCTAGTCAGATTCAGGACTCGTGTCCAGGCCTAAATAGACTGTAAACTAGCGGTAAAAGCACCACATGTTGGCTGGGATGGAAGGGAGTTAATTATTTTTTCCCTGAAACTTGCTCCAAGACAGAACTGTTGAGTGTTGATGTTGTCAGGCACCTCTTTAGGAAATGGGCCAGAGGACAAAGATGAAAAATCTGGTGGGATGTGTTTTCTCTTTTTTTTCTCGTTGAATATGTATAATGTGCAGGGAAAAGAAGTGGAGGCTCCTGAAATTGGTCAGCATGTACTGTTAAATATTGTTTGACACACAACTGTGAGTCCGGTGAGTATGGAAAAGAGGGAGAAAACAGAACAAGGCTTATCATGGTTTCCACATATCCTTCACCTGCACATACAGCAACATACTTAATATCTTTTTTTTTTAGTTTTTTTTTTTTTTTTTTAAATTGGTTATGCAAAAAAACTGCTGCTGCAGATGTCAAGTGAGAGAAAGTCAGAGGCGTTCCTCTATTCTCCAGTATAGAAAAATAATCAATCCTCAAGCAAAATATCCCTTATAATTGCACTGGCCTTTCTGGCCTGTCACTACTGTTCCAACCTAAAGGTTGTCCATAGAAACACTGCGTGCCTTTGTCAGAAAAAAGGTAAGAATGAGTATATAATCAGGCCTCATGATAAAAGCTGACTTTGGAACAAACTGATTGGCTGAAATCATTTCATGACCTGACGCACATCCGCTCAGCATGCTATCAGACGTTGAACTCCTTTGGCTGAGAAGAAGAGGGGTGATCTGTGTGTGTGTGTGTGTGTGTGTGTGTGTGTGTGTGACTGAATCCATCCAGTATTGCAGTGGGCCATTGGAGGATTTACAAATCGCCGTTGCGCCGACTTGAAACGAGGGTTGATGGAATGAGTCCCGAAGGGTGGAATGAGTGTGGTCTGGGCGGGCCAGGCCGCGCTGTGCTTTCACTGCAGAGAATGTCACTCGGGAACTCCCAGTGCAGACTCAGCGCAGGTGCTCAAGTAAAGGCAGCTCTGTGGATTCCTCTCGGGGGGTGGGGGGGTCGCCTGCAGTCAGCAGGGTTGGATCCATCGTCTGAGTGGCTCCCAGAGGGTCTTGTGTCAGACTGGTCTCTTGCAGGGGTACAGGAGGAGTAGGCTGTAAAAGATAAGAGACATACATTATTTTTAAACTTCTGCACTGCCATTAGAATGAATGACTACTAATGTGTCAGAGCTATGAGATTTAGCACCAACATGTCTCTGCTGATCAAACGGGCAGAGAAAAGCCACTTAATGTTGCTTCAAAGAAACTAAATGATGTGAAACAAAAAATGCTGCAGCATGCAGCGATGTCGGGGTCCAAACAAAAGCAAATGAAGTAAAGTTAGTTCACACAGATGCAGCGAGAACTCGTCTGCCCACTGAGCAATTCTGATCGTAGCTCAACAGAGCATTGCTTAGTTCTGGCTCACTTCCTGTTAGTGTTTCTCAACTGCAGGAACGTTGAAACTCTTCACTCACAGCTAAAATAAACTGATACACAGTTTGAGTCATGAGCAAGTCAACTGCTGTAAATAAAGCACGCGATATGGATTCAGTAGGTGGGTAAGAAACTCCTTATTATGGTTACTGTCCAGCTCTAGTTTGTATTTAAAAGTGTTAGAAATCTGTTAATAACACCTAACATCCTAGCTGCTGCTAATTATTATTTTCATCAGTGATGAATCTACCAATTACTTTCTCGATTACTCAATTAATCATCTGCTACATAAAATGTCAGCAAACAGGATAAAAGGCCCGTTGAAACGGTCTAGTTTAGTCCAAATATTCGGAAGAAGTTGGAATCTGGTAGCTATGGTAACCTTTCTTTAAAGGACCAGTATGTAGGATTTAGTGGCGTTTGGCAGTGAAGTTGCCGATTTCAACTGAACACAACTCAGC